GGCCATTATGAATTTTTGGTTATGCCCTTTGGGCTAACTAATGCTCCAGCCACCTTCCAATCTTTGATGAATGAGGTACTAAAACCTTTCTTGCGAAAGTTTGTTTTAGTCTTTTTTGATGATATTTTGATTTATAGTAAGACCTTGGAGGAACATGTGGGTCATTTGGAAGTGGTTTTGATGGCCTTGGAGAACAACCAATTATATGTCAACCAAAAAAAGTACACTTTTGGCCAAAGTCGATTAGAGTATTTGGGTCATATTGTTTCTTGTGATGGTGTTTCGGCCGATTCCACCAAGATTCAAGCCATGTTGGATTGGCCCACACCCAGCTCCATTAAGGAGTTGCGTGGATTTTTGGGTTTGACCGGTTATTACCGGCGTTTTGTGACGGGGTATGGCCATTGACACAACAATTGAAGAATGATAGTTTTAATTGGTCCGAAGAGGCTGATACTGCTTTCCAAGGTTTGAAACAGGCTATGACCACTGTTCCGGTTCTAGCATTACCGGATTTTTCAAAACCATTTGTGGTAGAATCCGATGCTTCAGGCTTTGGGATCAGCGCAGTTTTAATGCAACATCAACGGCCTATAGCCTACTTTAGTCAAGTTTTGTCCTCTCGCGCTAGGGCCAAATCGGTTTATGAGCGCGAGTTGATGGCTGTGGTATTGGCCATCCAGAAATGGCGACATTATCTCCTTGGGCGTCATTTCATTGTCTGCACGGACCATAGGAGTTTAAAATTTTTGTTGGAACAACGTTTAGTTAGGGAAGAGCACCAGAAATGGCTATGCAAATTGTTGGGTTATGATTTTGAAATCCAGTACAAACCAGGAACGGAGAACTGCGTCGCGGATGCTTTGTCTAGGCGGTCTTCGGGGTTGGAATTAATGCTCCTTACCACTTCCGCGTTATATGATGGGGCTGATATTAGGCAGCAACTTCTAGGTGATCCGAAGTTGGCGGGAATTCGGAAAGCATTGATGGACAATCCGAAGGGGGTGAAGGGTTTTTCCTTATGCAATGACATATTGTTGTGCAAGGGTCGGGTGGTCTTGACTAGGCTATCTCCTCTTATACCGGTCATTTTGAATGAATTCCATGGTGGCAAGGTCGGAGGACATTCGGGAGTCCTAAAGACATTTAAACGATTGTCATCTGAGTTCTTTTGGTATGGCATGAAAAAGGATGTCATCTCGTTTGTGGCAGCTTGTTAAGTGTGTCAACAAAACAAGGCTTCTACCTTGGCTCCTGGGGGACTATTACAACCATTACCATTGCCGAACTTGGTATGGGATGAGATTTCGATGGATTTTGTGGAAGGCTTGCCTAAGTCGGTGGGAAATGATTCGATCTTAGTGGTTGTTGACCGGTTGAGTAAGTATGCACATTTTTCGGGTCTTCACCATCCGTTTTCTGCAAAGTCGGTGGCTGCCCTATTTATTAAAGAGGTGGTGCGACTCCATGGTTTTCCCTGGACTATTGTGTCCGATCACGACAAGGTTTTCCTAAGCCAATTTTGGAAGGAGCTCTTTAGGCTGCAGGGCACTGCTTTACATCATAGTACAACTTACCATCCACAAACGGATGGGCAAACGGAAGTGGTGAATCGTTGCTTAGAAGCCTATTTACGCTGTTGTGTTTCTGGGAAACCTACTCAGTGGTTTTCTCATCTAGCGTGGGCTGAATTTTGGTATAACACAAGCTTCCATGTGTCCGCAGGAATGACTCCTTTTAGGGCATTGTATGGTCGTGACCCTCCAAAATTGTTGCGTTTTGAGTTGGGTTCCACCGCGAACTTTTTGTTAGAGGAGCAATTTCAAACTCGGGATGCTATCTTAGAGGAGCTACAGGGCCACTTGCTTCAGGCGCAGCATTCAATGAAGAGGAACGCGGATCTTAAGCGTCGTGATGTATCGTTCGACGTGGGGGATTTGGTGTTCCTGAAACTTCGGCCCTATCGCCATCGTCCTTGGCCACGTTTTTGAATGAGAAGCTTTCTCCTCAGTTTTATGGTCCCTATAGGGTCGTGGCGTACCAGTTGCAATTGCCTACAGAGGCCAAGATTCATCCGGTCTTCCATGTGTCGCAGCTTAAGCTAGCTATTGGCCAGCCTATTTTGGCTCAGGAGGTTCCGCCTGCTCTGGCTGCTGACATGGAGTTACATGTGGAGCCGGAGAGGTTGCTCGCTACTCGTTTCTCTAAGGTTACGGGGTAGCTGGAAGTCTTGCTTCAATGGCGTCATTTACCGGACTATGAGTCGTCTTGGGAGCTTTTCGATGTCATTCAGCAACAGTTTCCTGAATTTCACCTTGAGGACAAGGTGACTCTTTTGGGGGGCAGAGTAGTTGATAAGCCTCTACTTAGACAAGTCTATGTGAGGAAGGGTCGGGGAAGTGATTAGAGGATTGTTAGTGTATTGGTTCGTAGGTGTATAGGCTTATGTGGTTGTTGTGTGTGCGAGTATATGCCTACGTGGCTAATGTGTGTATTAGTATATACTTACGTGGTTACTATGGGTGTGAGCACAGGGGATTGTGATTAGAGTTGTTTGGGGCAGGAATAAAGAGGAGGACTCGGGGAATGATGAAGGCAGGCAATCATTGAGTCTGTATAGGGAAAGTCTTGGCATTCTGCTAAGCAGGAGAGGTTCTCTGGTTTCAAGAAACCAAATCTGTAATTTTTGTGGATAATTCAATAAAGATTCATTCTTTCTTCTTCTTGATTCAATTCTCGTGAAATAGTTGCTAGGAACTTACCAGAAACATGTGACGCTCAATCGAGGCATGATGAAACGCTATTTATGGGAGCATCAATTCCTAATGGAGGAAACATAATGGCAACTATAGAGGAAGAAAGGAAGGTGGCGAGATAGGTATTTTTTCATATAGCAATTTGCTCCAATAAGCATGTCTAGTTTGTTCTCTACCATTTTTCAAGCTCTACTTTTTTACAGTTGAGATTAATTGTTTTTACAATACTTGAGCTAGATTTAAGTTTGAACTTTTGGGGTTGTTAAAGTAAATTTTTTTCATTCACAGACTGTTATTCCAACTGAGCCATCACTCCTATCAGTATTATAGCCGGTAGATGATCCCATTTTCATTTGGTAATATGATGTTTTCTCAAAATGTAGATGCGGTAACGTGGAACCGCTTTGTACCATGATGTCGATTATTGTAGAGCAGAGTAACATGTTTCCCGAGCTCAAGAATAAATCGATAGATCCCTGGCCTTGTACGCGGCTTAAAGGTGGGCCTCAGAACGACAACAAATAAGTTTATGGTTTTAAAATAACAAGATAGATATTCACTTATTTATTGCTTATTACAATTACTAACTAAATTTTAAATAACGGAGACTGCTCAATATATACTATCAAATATATTGAGTTAGACTCTGCAGGGCTTGGTTTCGATGCGCTCAGAGATGACACCATTCCGTCCTTCAGACAAAAGATGGCCATTGACATTTTTTTTTTTTATGATTGGTACCCTTAAGAAATATTTGTATTAGAATTTTGTGAATTCTTTATTAGAAATATTGTCCTACCGGTATTTTGAGGATGTAAACAGTTTTAAAGATATAAAAGGTGCGTTTAGAACTCGTTCTAAAATGATTTTATTTTTTGTATGAAAATGAAAATAAAAACGTTTTCAATCTCAGACAGAAATCATTTTTAAAAATGCATTTAATAATTTTATCAAGAGATTATTTTCGATATAAAAAAATACATTAATCTCTCTCTCTACTCGAGAGAGAAGAAAACGGAAGCAAAAAATGAAAAATGACTAAAAGTCATTTTTTATTTTTCTCTCATTTTACACTAAATTAAAAAATTGTTTTCATTTCTGTTTTTTGTCTTTAATTGTGTCAAGCGTTGTTTCTCTCCGTTTTCATTTTTTCTTTCTCAAAAAACGTGAAAAAACAAAAATAATTTCAAACACAGTCAAAATTTTTGAATTCTTTATGAGAAATGTTGATTAAGTATTATAAATTTTTATTGTGCGGTGAACTCGAGTATTAAGCTTTCTACTACCCAGTATAATATCTCGACGGTTTAATAGAGTAATTTTTACTTCCATTTTTTAAAATTTTTTTCATCAAACAGTGAAACTTCTAAAAAAAAAGGATGAAATTTTAAAAATTCTAACTTGGTAAACGAAGTAAATAGTTTTATTATTTTAAATGTAAGCACTAGTAATTAACATACAAAATATTTTTAATGAATTAAAAAACTTTATTAATTAAATTTATAACAAATTTGATTGTGCCGTAGACGTGTTTTACTGTGCGGTAGATGTGCTTTACTATTCAGTAAATTCGAGTACTATAGTTCTTCACTGCATAGTAGAGTATATCAATTTAGCAATAGAGTGGATTTTCACTTTTTTTTAGTACTTGCTTTTTTAACTGGTCACATTGATAATTCGCACCAAATAATATGAGATAACGTAAAAACGTCAACAACTTTATAGCACTACTACTTAATGAATTAAAAAATGTAAGCAATGATAATTAAGGTTTAAAACATTTTTTAATGAATTAAAATATCATATTAATTAAATTTATAACGAACTTAACTGTGCAGTATACGTTTTCTATTGTACCATAGACTCTATTTGTAAAGCTCTTTATTGCTCGATAGAAAGTCTAGATTGGTCAGTAGAGTAGACTTTCACTTGCTTTTTTTAGTTAAAAAGTTTAGTTCAATTTAAAAAGTGAATTCACTAGTTTTTTTAAAGTAATTGTAAAAAAAAAAAAAAAAATTACTAAAATTTATTTTTAAAAGTATATGGATTTAAATTTAAATTTTTTATTCTTAATTAATATTATTTTTTTAATATAATTATTTAATTAAAAAATTATTAATTAAAAATAAAAGATAAAAATTAAAACTCGCGCTTTTAAACTTATTTGTCAACATTTCTCTGAAAAAAAAATCACCAAATGAAGCCCAAGAGAACCAAATGAAGCCCAAGCCTTAACCGGCCCCAGTCACCGAAAACAAGAATGGTTTTGGCAAATTCGTTGCAACAACAGCAGCTCTCCTCTCCAGCCTAGCTCGACCAACTCTCTGACTGCTTGCTCGCTCGAATCGACAAACTGTTGGTTCCGTAGATCGTTGTCCAGAGAAACAAGAGAGAGAGAGAGAGAGAGAGAGAGATGGCGTCTGGGTGGGGAATCACCGGAAACAAAGGCCGTTGCTACGATTTTTGGGTGGATTTCAGCGAATGCATGTCTCGTTGCCGCGAGCCAAAGGACTGTTCTCTCCTCCGCGAAGACTACCTCGAGTGCCTCCACCACTCCAAAGAGGTCTTCTCTTCACTACTTTTTTACCCCCTCAATTCATAATTTCTTGCATAAAATTTTGCCTTTTAGTTTCATTTTTTTATGCGTCGATTCGGCATCACAAACCCTAGGTTCCGATATCGCTTTTTAGATAATGTGGTTTCTGGGTCATTTAGTTCTGAGATTAAGATCAAATGATAGTGTTTCATAAAGTTTTATGCATAATTGTTGCAGTTTCTTGTTGGGCTTTTGTTGGCTGTGTTAATTAGGAGAACTTGTAGTGCTTATCCTGGTTTTTAAAAAAGTCTGATTATTTGTTTGCTTTCGTATTTAATCACATCAGAAGCTAAGCATTTGATCCGTAAATCACTTTTTTAGTTGTTATCTTCTGGGTCATCTATGGTTCTCAGAGAGAATCGGTATTCTTTATAGTTTTGAATTGGCTTCCACTTTAACGTTCTCCTACATGCAAGATTTTATTGAGTAGAAAATGGTGGTATGTTTGTTAACCGAACTAATGGAGTCAAGTGGTGGATTTTTCTTTCCTTGGTACTTAACCAAATGAGATAACAGAATAGTTGATAATTGATAAATAATTTAGATTCTTGAATTGACTTTGGTTAAGATGTTGGGATTTGTTGTGTGGGAAAATATGCGTTAACACGTCGGATAATCGCCATGCTCCACGTGGCCCAAAACCAGTCACATCAGGTAGCCGTCGATACCTAAAGCTCATTTCCTCCTCCGTTAATTGATGAAAAGGCCGACCGTATATTACGATTCATGCAACCGTCGACATTGCATACAGTCGAGGCTTGCGTTTTGTGTTCGCAGCCAAAGCAGTGCCATGAGAGGGTCGCTCGAGGCAGAGGTTGCACCCTATGAAGTATAGAATAGGTGCAGAGGGCAGACCGCATGAATATGGGTCCACGTCCCAAGAAAGACCTCTGAGGGGACAAGGGGAAACCCCTAGGTTGCATATGGGTTTGGAAGAGATCAATAGCACAGGAAATGATTACCTGCCCATGAATCGCCAGGAATGGACCAATGAAAGCTACAGAGGATCCACAGAGCCGCAATAGTGGACAAAGTGGATGAGTGAACAGCTCAAAAGGTTCTGAGAAGCTACGGTCTAAGCAGGTAGGATAATAAGCTACTTGAGAGAAACCATCATTAAACCCCCTGTGACAGTCCGTCCAAAAGGGATCCACATGTAATCTGTAGGCTATAAAAAGGGCAAAGCCCCAGAAAGAAAGGGAGTCTTTTTGTAACTTCTAAATAAATAAAAGAAATACAATTAACAGTGGATGTAGCTCCCTTTTATAGAGTGAACCACTATAAATTTATGTGCCTCTTTACTTCCGTTCTAGGACCAAATCAATACCTCTTATAATATACCTTAAAAATAAACACAGTCAGCTGCATAAATCCAAGAAAATTATCATTCATGTCGAGGAAATGCTGCTATCATTCCTGTCGAGGAATACACACCTCCACCAGAGAACAATCCGTTCAGCAAAGAACAATTGGAAGTCCTTCAAAGGATGATCACTTAGGCTCCACCAAGTCAGCCACCTACTGTTATTGGAACTGGTTCACTTGCACAAAAAGGTTATTTTCTCAACGCCTTAACTGTGAAACAAGAAAAATCGTGTTCTTGGATTATTGACTCAGGGGCTTCAGACCATATGACTGGGAATGCCAGTATACTTCATATCTTTTCTCCTTGTTCCCACAATGTCTCTGTCCGGATTGCCGATGGGACTCTTTCAAAAGTGACAGGGATAGGCACAGCAATCATCTCTAGAGATTTAGTTCTTGATACAGTTCTCTTGGTTCCAAACCTTGATTGTAACTTACTTTCTATAAGTAAACTCACCCGAGACTTAAACTGTATCACTAAATTTTCCTCCAACCCCTGTATTTTTCAGGACTTGGATTCAGGGAGGACGATTGGCAATTCTAGGATGTGTGTAGGGCTCTATTTTCTAGAGGTTGAAGGATGCAACGGGGGACAAACTCATCAGCAAACCGTGTATCTACTACAACTTTATCTACTTTCCATGTTAGTCAAAATAATGATAGTGAAATAATGTTGTGGCACTATCGTCTTGGACATCCAAATTTCATGTATCTTGCTAAACTCTTTCCATCTTTTTTTGGCAATAAAAATCTGAAGTTGCTTCAATGTGAGGTGCGTCAATTGTCTAAGCATGTTCGCACCTCATATCCTAGTATTCCATACAAATCTTCACAACCTTTTGCCATGATTCATAGTGATGTGTGGGGACCATCTAGAATTAAAAATATAACGGGTTCTAGGTGGTTTGTTATATTTGTGGACGATCATACTCGAGCTACTTGGCTTTTTCTAATGAAAGAAGGTTGGGAAAATATTTCAAAACTTCAACACAAATGATTCAAACCCAATTTAATAGCAAAATTCAGATTTTTCGAACTGATAATGCTAAAGAATATTTTGCCACCTATCTTGGGGATTACCTTTTAAGTCTTGGAATTGTTCATCAAAGCTCCTGTGTTGATACACCCCAACAAAACGGAGTGGCAGAAAGGAAAAATAGACACCTGTTAGAAGGTGTGTCAATTGTCTAAGCATGTTCACACCTCATATCCTAGTATTCCATACAAATCTTCACAACCTTTTTGCCATGATTCATAGTGATGTGTGGGGACCATATAGAATTAAAAATATAACGGGTTCTAGGTGGTTTGTTATATTTGGGGACGATCATACTCGAGCTACTTGGCTTTTTCTAATGAAAGAAAAGTCTGAGGTTGGGAAAATATTTCAAAACTTCAACACATTGATTCAAACCCAATTTAATAGCAAAATTCAAATTTTTCGAACCGATAATGCTAAAGAATATTTTGCCACCTATCTTGGGGATTACCTTTTAACTCTTGGAATTGTTCATCAAAGCTCCTGTGTTGATACACCCTAACAAAACGAAGTGGCAGAAAGGAAAAATAGACACCTGTTAGAAGTTGCTAGATCCCTACTTTTTACCACACACGTTCCTAAACATTTTTGGGGAGAAGCCATTCTCACATCAACCTACCTTATCAATTGTACGCCTTCACTGGTTCTTGGCTACAAAACTCCTTGTCGGGTGCTCCTTGAATATTTTCCCAACTCTCGACTTATTTCCACCCTTCCTTTGAAAGTTTTTGGGTGCTCAGCTTTTGTCCATATTAGTCCATCCCAAAGAAGTAAACTCGATCCCAAGTCAAAAAAATGTATTTTCCTAGGATATTCCCCCACACAAAAGGGTTACAAGTGCTATACCCCAGGAAAAAGACACTTCTTCACTTCTATGGATGTTACTTTTCTTGAAAATCAATCATATTACCCCAAAACCGATATTCAGGGGGAGAATGAGTCCAAACAAGAATATCATTTTTGGGAAAATTTGTCAAGTCCTTTGAAAAATTTGTCAAGACCAAGTCACATCATTCATTCTACTCCCTTGAGTTCCTTGGAATTTCCAACTCACGAACCTGTTTCACCCATTAAAAGTCTCTCTGATTCTCCAAATCCTGAAGTTGTCTCACCTGCAAGAAGTCCACATCTAAGCTCCCAAAACATTCCGAGTCCCATATCCAACTGAAGTGTCCCTCCTTCACCTTCACACTCGGAAGCAGAGCCGCATACACAACCTATGCAGACCCAAGAATCTGAACCAAGTCCAGGTAACTCTAATGAATCTCATGAGGTTCCTTTTAATGATCTTGGCTGACCTATTGCATTAAGGAAGGGTGTGAGGTCTTGTACCCAACATCCGATCTCTAAATTTGTCTCTTATGAAGGTCTATCTCTCATGTATCGTGCCTTTATTACTAAACTTGCGGCGACTGAAATTCCAAGCAACATTCATGAAGCACTAAAACAGCCAAGATGGAGAATAGCAGTTGAGGAAGAAATTCGGGCACTTGAGAAAAACGAAACTTAGGAACTATCAGAACTACCCAGAGGAATGAGACCGGTTGGATGTAAGTGGATTTTCACCATCAAACATAAAGCAGATGGAAGCATAGGTCGATTCAAAGCTTGGTTGGTAGCGAAGGGGTTTACTCAATCTTATGGGATTGACTACCAAGAAACATTTGCCCCTGTTGCAAAGCTCAACACCATTTGAGTCTTGTTATCTCTTGCAGCAACTTTGACTGGCCTCTTCACCAACTAGACATAAAAAAATGCCTTCCTCAACGGTGATTTGGAAGAAGAAGTGTACATGGAAATTCCCCCTTGTTTTGAAACTAAACAGAATACAAACAAGGTGTGTAAACTCAAAAAATCCCTATATGGTCTCAAACAATCTCCTAGAGCTTGGTTCGTTAGATTCACGAGAGCTGTGAAGAAATATGGCTACACTTAATGCCAATCTAATCATTCTCTCTTCATCAAACAATCTTTTGAAGGGAAAAGGTCCATTCTTATTGTCTATGTTGATGATATTGTACTTACGGGAGATCATGAAGAAGAAATAAAGGCTCTCAAGCAACTCCTAGCTCAAGAATTCGAAGTAAAAGATTTGGGGTATCTTAGGTACTTCCTTGGGATGGAAGTTGCTCGGTCCAGAAAAGGCATCTTGGTTTCTCAACACAAGTATGTCCTAGACCTCCTCAAAGAAACCGGCATGCTTGGATGTAAGCCTTCAGACACTCCCATGGACTCAAATAAAAAATTGGGAGTAGGAAAAGAAAGTACATCAGTTGACAAAGGTAGATATCAATGCTTAGTAGGAAAACTGATATATCTCTCTCACACAAGACCTGACATCAGTTTCTCAGTTAGCGTTGTCAGCCAATTTATGAACAACCCGACTGAAGAACATCTAGAGGCAGTATATCGAATCCTAAGATACCTAAAGAAGAACCCCGGGAAAGGCTTATTCTTCAAAAGGGTGGAGAGTGGAGAGGTTAAGATCTTCACTGATTCTGATTGGGCTGGTTCTATCACAGATAGGAGATCCACCACCGGTTATTGCACATATGTTTGGGAA